TTTTCAAATCAATGGGATTTTTTTTCCATTGATTTACGGGGGGCCAAGATTCTGCCCAGTTTTTTTCCTTGTTGAAAAGAGTCAGGGGGTAGCTGAGTTAGTCTGTAACAGGAAAAACTTAAAAAACAACAAGATGCTAGTAGACTATTTGTTGTTTTTTAAGCTTTTCCTTGTTGAGAAAGAGATAAGTGGGTGCAAAGTCAGGGTATCTGTTCCTACTCCTCTATGTAGATCCTGTCATTGCTTTGAACAGGAAAGGTAATCAACTGTAAAAACAACAGCAAAATTTACAACTCTCAGAACTCCAAAATGCAAAGCAGCTGTTTTCACACCTTCGGCTAACCAACAGTTTCTCTTACCAAACACTATCTGACCTGGTGTGAGATATGCAAGGCAGTTTTATATATGTTCATCTCAGGATATTAGAGAGACAAGGTGGGAGGTAATATCTTTTATTGGGTCAACTTCTGTTGGTGAGAGAGGCAAACTTTCGAGTCACACAGAGCTCATCTGAAGAAGTGGGCTGGGCCCATGAAAGCTCATGATACCATCTACATGTTTTGTTAGTCTATAAAGTGCTACCAGACCTTTTGTTGTTTTTTAAATTAATCCTGTACAGACTTAAGTCGGCTACCCCCTGAAACTTCAGAGCTCTCAGCTGCGTGGCTTGAAAGTTTGTCTCTCACCAATGGAATTTAGGACAATAAAATATATTACCTTACCCACCTTGATCCCCTATTGTGAGATATGTCTGTTTTAACCCCTCAATTTTCCCAAATATATAAAAATCCTCTAAGAACCTAAAATCATGTGCTTCCACTCAATCACCAGCAACATAAACAATATATCAATTAAAATTATAATAGCATTTTAATTAGTTGTCCAAAATCATCTCTGTCTTAAGTGGAGATGAATTCGTTGCCTTATGTCAGCAATAAATTTGACAAAAGGGTTATATGTTCTGCTAATTACATCTGTAGACCCATGAGCTCATGACAGAATAGGTGCTTTAACTCCCTCACCCCGTAAGAGGAGACAATGTGGTAATTATTGTCAAAGTTATTCAGTGTGATGTGTAAGCACCAGATTATTAATCTCGTTCAGCAGATCATTGGGATTAACTTCTCTGATTTTTGAATCTTTTGATGGGAAACCTTTGCTGTTTCATATAAAATGGAAATTACAGCAATAAACAGTATATTTGAAAATATTTTTAAATCCTTGGATTTTGGACTTGCAGCTAATGAGTTTAAAAAGCTTCATAAGGTATACAATGTGCTGCTTATGTTGCTGAGAAGCTGCACAATGAACTACATTTTCAGTATCTTTGTAAATTTTAGGGCAAGATTAAGACATGTTTGTATACGTGGAGAGCGCGTACTCTGTGAGGCTGCTACTTCATGCTTACTCTCACAGATGAGTAGAGAGGGGATGGAGGCCTTGGCTGGTTCTCTCAACATGCCAGTAGGAAGTAATCTTCTGTTGGTAAAGAGCAGAAACAGACTGCTTTCTCCTCTTATACAAGGAGATTTGGCATTTGAGTTTTATTTCCTTTCCAGAGCTGCTCTGAGGGCAGCACCCCCTGTGTGTCTCAATCCAGTGGAAGTTGTTTAGGAATCATATAAAGTTCTCCATTCTCCTTTAGAGGAGTTGTGCTGCTCTAAACTCAGACATCTGCATAACAGTATGTTGTGATGACACTGGATTATGCTTTCTCCCAGGTCCATTTCTGTAACAGGTGCTGATTTTACATAATTTGATAAAATATATTCTGGTCTGGTATACAGAAAATAATATTCATTTATTAATATTCCTGTCACAATTCATTTTTCAGAGATGCTTTTACTTGGAGGTTTATCTCATGTCCTTAGTTTATATTTGTTTAATCAATTATTTATTTGAGAGTTTAACTCTATGTAGACAAATGGAGCACAGTAAACATCCCTTTAACTGATGTATTTATTATGCAGTCACTGTTACTATATGACAAGAAATCTGATTTTACCAAACAGGCCTATCATTGTGAAAGTTAATAATATTCCATTGTTTTGACCGAGTTGTATTTTTTTTTAACATTTTAAGAGTATTATGAGGAGGTATACAATAACCAACTTCATTTGGCCTACTGCTTCAACAACCCTGTGGACAAATGGTTAAGGAATTACTTTTATGAACAATGCTTTAATACTGCTATACTGATCAAAGTTGATGGTGGGAAAAAAGAGGCGGAAGCACATGCAAATATGGGCCTTGTCAATGAGGAACAAGGTAAGTAACAGTTTATATTATTGTATCAAAATGTATTTCCATTTTCACACAGTAAAATTCTGTTGTACCTAATTGCTATTCACATTATCTCATAATAGATTATTTGATGCTAAAATATCTGTGGGTTTGTGAAGTTGTCATCATTTACATTTTTTTATCAGCAAATCAACAAATAGAATAGTTCATCATCATTAGAGAGAAATTTGTTTTCCCTGACAGCTGTAGTTTGAAGGTTCTCTTTCAAGCTGAAAACAAGACATATGAACAGGGGAAGCATTTCTTTATAAAATGTAGGTTTGGTAGGGACCTCAAATGGTTATCAAGTCTACTCCTCTCACATTGAAGCAGAATTAAGTCTAAATATTTAGACTGTTCCTGACAGATGTTTATCTAACCAGTTCTTTAAAACTTCTGAGGTAATCTGTTCTAGTGCTTAGCTATCCTTCGAGTATGAAAGATTTCCTGATAGGCTAGATAAATTTTCCTTGCTGCAAACTAAGCCAGTTATTTCTTATCCTGAACGTGAAGAATAATTGATCACCCTCTTCTTCATGATGATCATTTGTATATTTGAAGGCTGGTATTGTGTCTGCCATCAGCCTTCTCCTCTCTAGGTTAAACATGCTCAGTTCTTTCAACCTCTCCATTCCATCATCCCAGCCTGAATGAAGCTATTGAATAGTACCAGACCCAAGACAGATGTTTTCAAGGCCTCATTGAATACATCATCCCAGTCTGACAGCGAAACATTGATAATGTGACTCTTTTTTTAACCAATTGTATACTAATTATATAATTTAATCTAGACCATATTTCATTAGTTTAATCAACACAGTGGCATGTGGGACTCTGTCAAAAGCTTTACTAAAATTCAGATACATTGTGTCTACCTCTTTCCACCATCTGCAAGGTGGGTTACTTTGTTAATGAAAGAATTTCAGTTGTTTTAATCTGTTGTTGACAAATCTATGTTGGCTATTATGAATCAACTTATTTTCCTGTATGTTTTCAGAAATGCATTGTTTAATAATGTTGTTCCTGGTATCTAGGATCAAAATTAGGGTACAGCTCTCTGAATCATCCTTTTTTAAGATAGGTTATTATGTTTAACCCTTCTCCTATCCAGTAGCAGTTTTCTTTGAGAACTCTAGAAAGAGCGATGAGATCTCAGAAGACTGAGGAAGGGCAAACATAGTACCTGTCTTTTAAAAGGAGAACAACGAGAATCCAGGGAAAGGGAATTATAAACCAGTCAGCCTAACTTTGACCCCTAAAAAGATACTGTTTGTAAGCACCTAAAAATAATGGGATTATAAGGAATAGATGTGAATCTTTATTTTAGTAAGGCTGTTGGCACTCTCAAGGCAAATCATAGCTCTAGAAGGAACCTCTAGAGGTCATCAAGTCTAGTCCCCTGCACTCCTGGTAGGACCAAACACCATCTAGAACATCCCTGACAGGTGTTTATCTAACCTATTTTTTAAAATCCCCAATGATGGAAATTCTACAGCCTTCCTAGGAAATTTATTCCAGTGTTTAACCATCCTGACAAGAAGCTTTTCCTTGTGTCCAACTTAAACCTCCCTTGCTACAATTTAAGCTCTTTGCTTAGAGGTTAAAGAGAATACTTTTTCTCCCTCCTCCTAATAAACTTTTAGTTACTTGAAAATTATTGTCATGTCGCTCTTCAGTCTTATCATTTTACAATCTTCTATATGTTTGCAAGTGGATTCCTGAATTATTTGCTTGATTATTTTTCCTGTTACAGAAGTTAAGATGACTGGTCTGCTTATAGTCTCTCACAATCCTGTGTGTCCTTTTTATAATCAAACTAGGGAGATTTGGTCGAAATAATATTACTATATGGTAAGGTACACAACTGATTGAAAGACCACAGTTATAAGTAATTCACTATAAAACTAGGAAGGAATATTTAAGAAGAGTCAATCATGGGTCAGGTGCTATTCAAAATTTTCATTAGTGATTTAGATAATAGAATGCAGATTATCCTTAGAGTTTTTTGGATGGCAACAAACAGGAAGGAGTTACAGATACTTTGGAAGACAATGTTAGAATTCAAAATGACCTTGACAGATTGGAGAAGTAGTGTGAAATCAGCAAGATGAAATTTAATAAAGTGCAAAGAACTTCACTTAGGAAGGCAAAATCAAATGCATAGCTATAAAATGGGCAATAACAGGATAGGTTCAGAAGGCTAGCACTGCTGAAAATAATCTGGGGGCTATAGTGGATTGAATTTGTCATACAGTTGTGAAAAAAGCTAATACTCTGGAGTGTATTATGTAAGAGACAAGACGTAACGGTCTTGCTCTACTCAGCACTAGTAAGATATTACCTGGAGTAATGTGCCCAGTTCTGAGTGCCACATGTAGGAAAGATGTAGAGAAATTGAAAGGGATCCAGAGAAGAACGATGCAAATGATAAAAAGTTTAGAAAAGCTGACCCAAGAAGAAAGATTTGTATAAAATGGGTATGTTTAAGCTTGAAAAATGAAGACTAAGGGGAAGACCTGATAATTTGTCTTCAAATATGTTAATGGCTGTCATAAAGAGTACTGTAATCAATTTTATCCTTGTCCACTGAAACTAGAATAAGAAGTCATGGACTTAATCTACAACAAGAGGGATTTAGGTTACCGTATTAGATTTTTTTCCCCTATCAGAGTAGTTAATCTCTAGAACAGATTTCTGAGGGTCAGATGTGGTAAAATCCTCATCCTGGAGGATTTTAAGAACAGGTTCAACAAATATCTGTCAGGAATGGTCTAGGTTTACTTGGTCCTCACTGCTGGAGGCTAGACTCTATGTTTCTATGATTCTTCGGGATTCTGGAACCTCACCCAGCCTGTGCTGCATAGTAGACACCACCCATATTAATAGGAGTAAGTAGCATTGTGATATGGTGCATTGAGACTCAGAGTTACTCAGATTTGTCTGCATCAAAAAATGTTCCTCAGTAGCCCAGCTGGCCCTGTTGGCTCTTCAGCCAGTGCTTGTAGGTCTTCTTCCACAGGAAGTGTAAGCATTTATAACTTTATGTATAGCTTTGCGTTGCATTAACCAATTACCCATCCCAAGGTGAAGGTTCACATCTGCTTTAACCTGTGAGAATTGAGCCCCCAATATCAATTGCAATACAAAGGCTGCCAATAGAAGAGAGAACTCCACAGTGCAAGAGACTACATAATGCTTTTTCTATAATAATTACTTTAATTAACCAACCAGACATTACATTGTCGTCTGGTAGAGGAGAGAGACCAATGTAGATTATATAATATTTACATTACACCAAGGTCTCATAGAAAGACCCAAAGTGCTAGTTTTTTTCCTCTCCATTGTCATTCTGGAATCTCCCCTTGACCAAGGCATACAGGGTGGGATACCGCTTTCATAATATGTTATATTGATATCCACTGTGGCTTATGCATATTTATTAAGGTTTTATCCCTTTTTCCTTATTCGAAATTCCACATCCCATTACTTTTTGGGGTTCCTGGTTTTTATAGGCTAACTCATTAGTTTCCCTTCTACTCATTAACATTTATATTACCTTGTCACCATGCTAACAGGAAGTCTCTAATATTTCACCCTAGCTACCAACATCATCTTGGGGAGTCTGCTGATCTCTCATAGACATTATTGTCCAAACTCAGCAATTATTATCAAAACATCAGCATATCACAACAATAGACACAAGCTTGGAACATTTATTATCCTAAGTCCTATGGCCTAATTTGACAATGCTAAATATCTTACAGGCCTGAGATCTATAATCCTTTGTTACAACATTTAATTTATATTTATATTTCATTTCTATGCCCTAAATATAACTGATACCTTTTATCCTTGGATACGGACTATAGTTGTGTCCAATGAAGAGAACCTTCCAAATATACACCAAGCATTCTGTGTGTGTGTCAGAATCCATAGAAAATCTGAAACAGAAGCTCTGAAATTTGTGAATTATGCCATTTATCTCAATGGGAGGTGAACTTTGAATAATTATTTTAATTTATATTCTGATAGAACACAAAGGTAGGGTACAGTATACAATAAAAAAATCTAATTATGCCAGTATCACATGTTTTGTTAGTCTTTAAAATGATACCAGACTATTTGTTGTTGTTTAAGTTTATCCTGTTTATCCGAGTTATCCAGACTAACTCCGCTACCCCCTGAAGCTATTTACCTGTTAAGTATTTCGCAGCTGATTATTATCACATCCCACTTATATGCTTGTAATATAAAACCATGTTTCCAGTTGCTCAGAGTACCAATTATTCTCTATCCAGGTTCCCATTGACAACTTTTAAACTTCAGTCTCAAAATTCTGCATTAAATTAGGATGACTTTTAAAAACATTCAGTATTGTCCTGATTCTGCCAATGTTGAAGACTGTGTTAAAATTTCCATTGAGTTCAGTGAGACCAGCATTAGACCTATTCTGTGCACTTTTGAAAACTCCACCCTAAAAATGTAGGCAAACCATAAAGCAAATGAGATTTTATATTAAATTTAACAACAGAGGAGATGCTTTTGCCGTTGTGTTCATTTTCATATTTAGTTCAATAAGAACCTTTTTATCTAAAGTAGTTGCAAAATTTCCAGTCTACTGGACTGGAGTGTCAGAATGCAGGCTCCTTACAACAAACATACGTTAAACTTGCCATGATACTGGACCTTGAATTATAGACTTAGGATTTTTTTCATAAACATACAGAACTTTTATGCCCTTAAACTAGAGCCACTTGATGATTACTTGTTCTATTAATTCCCTATGGGACATCTGGCGTTGGCCACTGTCAGAAGAATGAATCCTGGGCTAGATGGACCTTTGTCCACTCATTTTTATGATCTTATGTAGGACTTGTATGTTGCATCTATCCTACCCTGTCATAGGTTAAAACTGGTTTAGTGGCTTGATCCAAGGCGTAGTGAAGCCAGTGGAAAGATTCCCATTGACTGTGGGCTTTGCATCA